CATCTGTATTAAAAACTAGTTTGTTATTCTTCCCCCACACCTCCGATGAGCACAATTGTATTGGGCCTGATAATTGATTTTCAAAGACAACTTAGGAATATACATTTCTTAAAAACTGTTTTCCAGGTAAAGCCCACTGAGCTATGAGCTCTTTTTTCAGAGGCGACCTGGCCCCACATGATAGCTCAACAAAGCGACTAATTAGATGGGGGAATTCATCGTGACCAAATATTCTATACACGCGTTGATGAACGTGGAGGGCAAAACCGGAGGACCTAGAGAAATGCCCACGTGACCACTGGGAAAGAGAACACACGAACTCCAAATATACAACAGGCATCATCAGCATCAGAATAGAACCCACTACCTCCTGCATACAAGGTGAGGGAGATAACATCTCCTCTCTACCACGGCTAGATGCCTATCCAGCAGCATAGCGTATTTGGCATGGGCCCTGGTGTAATGATTAAAATGGGTCCTTCCTATGTCTAATTCTTCCCATGTTGATAGCCTGGCACCTGGGTCCCTCCTTCCCATGAACCCCAGTGCAGGTGCACCGCCTGCACACTCAATCACAACACCACTTCGCACTCGATAGCCTATCGCCTACCCACCCGACCATATAGCCACCTATGCCCCTACTTCCCGATCTATCCACCTACCCATTCAGCTCAGCCATTATGCCGCCACCAAGGCACGAGCTGTGATATCCGTTCCGAACCTGATCGTGGAACCACAGCACCGCAATCAAACCTCTAACCCCATTACCCTGATTGGGTGCCGGATTGCGGGAGACGAGATAGGGATCCAAAGATAGCCTCTTTTCCACAGCCCACATTAGGCGCATTGCACTGTGGGTAATCTGGATGAGCAGGCCTCAGATGGGATTAACCGCCAGATCAAAAAATACACCGCGGTGTCCTGAACCGTCTCGCTGACCAATGCCGCACGACGTTGCTCCACACACAACAGCGGCCCGGCGGCGATGGCTGACTTGGTGATGCGTGACGGCCACTGGGCACTAGCCGTAGCTTCCGCCGGCACGGTTGATGGAGATTCCGCGTCTCTCCTTTTTCTAGCCGGCCCACGGCAAGACGGCAGCAATGACGGGGGCCACTGGCCAATGGACGAGTGAGTTGCCACATAAAGCTGCGTTGCGTCATGCCAGGGTACACATGTCAACAGAGACAAAATAAACAAGCGCATACCGGTACTGTACTGCAAAACACCTCGCCACCACATTAAAAGTACATGTACAGCCCCTCTCGTCAACCCACTGCTGGATGAGGGCCTGTTCGCGCTTTGCGGGATGTGAAGGTGGGGAGCATAGTAGACATGGAAGTATATTCGTATATGTACGGTACAACAGTGCATTTTGCTGCACTGCCATCTAATATATATTTATGCGATATAACCCAAAAAAACTATTATGTATATTGGTTAAGATAGCCTACATGTTAAACTGCCCGCTAATGCCCACCACGTGGCTCCTCATCCCCTATGCCAACCTGTTTGTATACGTGGGGGTCACTAGTCACGCATTCAAGCAACCCTGCTGAGTGTTTCCCAGATCTGATAAGGTCTCGAGCAATTTGGGTGATTCTGCAAAAGGTCGAGGACCGGTTGAAGTTTAGCTCAAGGATGCTCGGAATTCCATACAGCAGGATAGGGTAAGCAAGGGGGAATAAATAACGTGGCAGGAGAGTGTTGTAGGTGTCATCCACAAGAGAAGGTTCCAGTGGGGGGGACGCGGGCGCAGGATGGAGGAGGGCAGGTAACCGAGACGGCGCATCAGAGTGGCAATGAGGGTCAAGCAGAGGAAGTTGAAGGTCAAATGTCAACTTTACAAGAGCTAGGGGACTCAGCAGGAGGCACGAAGTGACGGTGACATGTGGCGGCATCAGTGGAAGTGTTTGAGAGAACTCCTAACCTTGACGACGGACGACAACAAGCAGGCGTTGCACGTCCGTACGGAAATTGCGTTACCATCGTCGACAACAAACGCCGGATTGAAGCACTCTCAGGCTGCGTCAACGGCAGCCCCCGAAAACGCACGCGCCGTGGTGCCGGACTGCCTTATGTGTTTAGTTTGTTGTCCTTGCTCCCCCCCCCCCACACACCTTCCGATTAGCACGGTTGGCTACGTGCGGGTGTGCGAAAGACGGTCTCGTCTGATTACCCGCACCGTGCGCCCGATTCGTATTTGATTTACTCCCGGCTGGGTCAACACGCTACGTCACCATTTGCGCTGCTTCGCTCTCGTGAGTGGCGGCGAGAGGCAAGGGGCGCCGAGAGGCCACGATGCCGCCACCACCGCTTTGTTTGTCCTGCCCCACGCGGCGAGAAAAACTCGGCGTGCCAACTCAAAGCGTGTTGTGAAGCGCCGTCTAAAGTGGAGCCTAGTGCACGCCACGGCAGCGGCCACTGCCAGGGATTAACTCATTAACTCAGTGTTCTTCACTCATTTTCAGAGGGGGCGGCCACGTTCGCCGAAAAGACATCTTCAATGTGAGCGCCGCCACACATTTTAAACCATTGGTAGTTTTGACAGCACAATGATGATGAGGTGATGGGGGGTGGGTGGTGATTTCACTATTTGCGTATTGTCGGGGAGGGGGCACACGTCAGGGGCCGCACTAAAGGCCACCAGGGGCCACCAGTGGCCTGCGGGGCCTTGCAATGAAGGACACTGGATTAACTTCAGTCGCGTTTGTGAACCAGAACATATTTTTCAACTGTTGCTGTGCGTGCCGAATCCAGTCCGCCGCATCCATTACAAATGTAATTGCGTCATTCAACTGAAAAAACAACAACAAAGAAACTTGGATTGGCCCAACTTCCCAATGCTGAAAAATGCAAGCGAATTACTCAGTTGGGATTACGTATTGTGACATCGCTCACTGCTGCAAAACAACTATGGCAGGACCCTCCTGAAAGAGGGCTTGAGACCCGGTGAGGCTCTCCTCGTTAAAAAAGACACGCAGAATAATTGGAGAAGCGGGCCTGCCCCCCGTCTCTCTACCCACTGCTTTTCTACAACCGGTTTAGTTCACGTCGACGGTTCGAACACGCGACATAATGTAACGGGCCCACGCATTGCCACAATACAAAATTATTTTTAAAAAACGTAACACAGAGACTCACCTCTAATACCGGACCGTTACGTGTATTGTTGGAATGAATACCATACATTGAAAATGTGAATAAATAAAACGTGAGAAAAAACACGCAAAAACAACCGTAAAAAATCAATGTGAAGCGCCGTCAATTATATTGCACAAATCAATGATATTGCGCAATGAATTGCAATTACTGTGTAATTGTAATTTAATCTAACAATGCTGCTGTGTTTGTAATTAAAATAGGGCCCAGGTCTGACTCCAATGCACCTCTCACTATGACTCTGGCTAAGAGTCGTGGTGTGCCACCTTTCAGTCGAGAAAGCAACCTGGAAAATATTCAGTGATAAATTAAGCCCTGGCCACACAGGTGGATGGAACACCGGGACACAAACCGTGTGGACCTGAGGCAGGACGTGTGTTTCTGTGCTGCACTGCAGTGGACAGGATTGTAGCAGACTGAGCTGAATGACAACACAAATATTAAACACAATGATTATGAAAATAATATTGTCACGTATTTAATGCATGAATGCATCTGCTGACTGTTGAGATTCTGATTCAGGAAGTGTTGTTACTTATTTAATTGTTTGGAGGAGAAACAAATGAGTTTGCTGGGTTTGGGAGTTGGGGAGCTTCACTGAGTCTCAAGAGGCTTCAGATTCGGTGAGTTTTCAAGGACTGGCCATTAGAACCAATTTTTTTTAAATAAAAAGCTGTCATTACAATAGTTTGAGAAAATTTTCCCAAGCCACGTGACCAGCTTTGCCGATCATGTGACCACAGCTTAGAAGCACGCGTTTAGATTATTTGGCTGCGGTAAATTTCCACGCGATAAGCCACTTAGTTGAGCTGTTGTTTGTGGCCAGGTCGCTTCTCAAAAATAAATAATAGCTCAGTGGCCCTTACCTGGTAAAATAAAAATAGGATTTTTTTTGTTTATTTACGTATTTTTATTGACTTTCTTACCTTTCCTATACTTTGCACTCCTATCCTTTTAAAATTATTATTTGTTGTTGTACCTTTTGACCCACCCTTCCTGGACATCTATGAAAAAAAGAAGAGCTTCATAACTCATCAGATTTTTCCAGACTAAATAAAGAGTTCTGATTCTTGGAGAGCGCAGGCATTTACACAGGTGCGACCCCTTCACCCTGCGTCTTCCAGGAAACTCGAGTGGTCACCATTCTGTTCACACACACCCCTTCCCTATCGGATCAACAACTCCGCTCACCGACTTCTAATGTCCTGCTGCCCGACATATTCCGTTGTCAAGGGACGCCTCGTGCACGCCTGCACGCCGTTCTGAAGCTGCGCGTCTGCGGCTGACGCGTGCTGCCCCGTTCGCAATGGACGATGCGTGGGCCAAAAGTAAAGTTAAAAAAAATACCCCCCACAGTCTTGTCTGCGAGATGTCAAACTCACAATTGTAGATTACGTCGACAAATAACATCTATGGCGTAAGGCCTCTTCTACCGCTACTCACAATATCACACGAGATGTTACATTCTGTAAATACACGTGTATTCATACACGTGTATTTACAGAAATGTTATATATTTAGTGGGAAAGGACCTAACTTGCTTATCCGAGTGAGCAGCATTGAGTCCATAACTGACGTGCACAACAAATGCCAATAAATCAACAGTAAAACAGTGGCATAAATCTTTAATGGGTTCACCTTGCCGCCATTGACCTACAACCAGCGGGAATATTCTAGAGATTTCCGCAACAGTAAATAAACTTCGTATTTGCCACCGTCTACTGCTGAGCAACATTTCAAGAGTGAAGCCAAAAACGTCGGAGGAGGCAGCCGTGACACGGCGAACTTCGCGAGCACCAGTCACGCAGCTCGTCTCGCCGGGTTATTCGCCTACGTACCTCACGTAAGAATGTCAAATAATCCCCAGGCATCAATCGACAGCGGCCGCTGCTTGCTGGCCTCCACGCAAGCGGCCCAACAGCGTCCACAGTCCAACCTCCCAGATCTCGTCCGACGCCAACGTCCCCGATGGGACACTTCGCCCGTGCTCCCGGCTCCACCTGGACTCAGAACGACACCGGCAACGCTTCTGCTGTCTCCGGCGCCAGGTGGTGCATATTCTACCCCTGCTCCTGCCCCGGCCGAATCGGACCCCGCGTGTTGTGCGAGAGCGGTCGTTTTGAAACTCTGAAACGAACCGGCCCCCTCGTTTTTGGGAAGCGCTTCTTGGGGTGGTTTTTTTTTGTGTTCTGGGCTGGCGCCGCGGATGGGCCCTGTGGCGGTGGATAGCGACCGTTGCTAGGCCAGCAAATATCTGTTTGGGTCTAACTCCAAACAAGTCGCCGAGATACGCGCGAGGCAGACCCCCCCCCCACCACCTCTGCTCTCACTCAACCCTCTCCAGCTCGCCGCCGCGGGGGCCCAAGCACCCAGCCCAGCACTGCAAACATTCGGACGCCCTAGACAAACAGGGCCAGCAACCCAGCAGCACCATCCGTCCCACCTCCCCCCCCGCCAAATCCCCCACCCCACGCCGGGCGCCCTCACCTTGCAAACTGTCTCCTTACAGGATTTGGCTGTAAAACAACAACCGCCGCGTGCCCCCCTCGCAAGGGTCCCAACTTGCACGCCGCTCTCAGGTGAAGTGTTTTCGCATTTTCGGTTCACAGCCGAAGCGAGGCCGCTTCAATGCAATCGTCCAGCTGTTAGTTTCAAAGCGAGGTTTTGTTTGGGGAATTTCACGCCCCCCATCTCCCTCCTCCCCGCCACCTTCCCCTTCCTCTTAAGGCCCAGCGGTCAAAATATGCCAGCGAGGGGTGGCCCACAGTTGGGACGTGCGTGGCCAAAGGCGCCCAAGCGTTGCTTAGGCGCCGCTCGTTTTGGCGACTCTAGAGACCGCGCTATCTGAACCCCGTTCAGATATGCCCGCCCCCGTCGGCCGTTTGGCAACGAAGCTCAAAACGATCGGTGCAAACGGTGACGTTTTATAGAGTTGTTGGGTTTTGTGAGTCGAAGTAATTGCGGCTGTGGGCGGCGTCGCCATGCCCCGATCCTGGCAGCTATGAATTTTCCCGTCGGCTTTGTGCTAGGGTAGGCAGAGAGAAAAGGCCCTCGTTTGAATGCAGCACGCCTGGATAAACCTTTTTACCAACGGCATTATTTTGCACTTTGGTCGCTGCCGCCAGCACAAAAAGCCCCCTGAAAGCGTTCAAGAGGACGCGGCGCAAGCTCCGATGCAATGTCATCCATCTGGGTCTTCAGGTTCACGTCCCTTTATAGGTGACGCGGGGTTAAAGAGGAATTTGACACACATTTGAATGGAGAAAAAAGCAACTGTTGAACGTAGACGTGACAATTTCTGAGCTGCTGTTTTCAGGCGTAATGCTTTGCCTGTCAATTCTAATCTTGGTAATTAAGGTAATGCATGCCGGTTCGTGACACTGATTAGTGCTCGACTCACAGCTTAGAAGGTCGTGAGTAGGTCGATTCAGCAATCTATGTTCAATAAATGAACGACCGCTTTGTGGGAAGTTAACAGTGTACGTGCTATGGAGAAACTGTCTTCCACCATGGGAATGTGGAATTTACACCATTTGTTCAGGGCCTCGAACAGAGGTGAGTACTGTACAAAGAGACCCACTTTGGCTTTTATTTTATTTCCAGAGATTTAAGACCAATCAATCAGTCAATTTACCAGAGGAAACCCAAACAGTATCAAGACCTTTACAGAAGTAAATAACAAAACGTAATTATGAATATTGAATTCAACTCACTGGAGGGCATAACTTCCCATGGTTTTCTGTGCCACGCGTGTGTATTCCCCACCTTGGAGCCCCCTCCACCGTGGACAGGACAGAGCGTGCGTACTCATGGCTCCAGTCCAAGTGGACTTGGGCAGGGCGGCAGAGACAATGACAAAGATCCTCCGTGTAGCTTACATGGGTCTGCTGGGGCAAGTGGTCTTATTATCGAACCCTCATTGAAGACTGGGGTGTGGCCAGAACCTCCCCAGTGTTAATGTTTTACACACCGCACCAGATACGTGTTTAAGGCTGAGTCCCAGGAACCAGTTCGGTTATTCCCCAGGGGAATCGAACTCGAGTTTCGGGCTTTCGTAGCGCAGTGCGCGAACCACTGCGCCACCGCTCCCCGCAGGGGACCTCGGCCGAGAGCAGTGGCGTCCGATGAGCAAGCTCCAGAGTCCGAGTCGGCACCTGGCTGCCCGTGGCTACGACTAATCGCGATCCCAGAGTCAACGGTGCAAACCCCGAACAACCCAAAACAAAGCATCTCCATGGCACTCGCCCGAACAGCCTGGTTACACGCCCACCGCATTGTTTGCGGACCTCTGGTGAACGGCGGGGGGCACGATGGCACGAGGGGCGAATCGGGAGCGGTCGCTCCGTGGCTCGGCTCGTAAACAACGCGAAGGCACGAGGCACAGGGCGACTCGGGCGACTCGGGTGATCGCTGCACTGCAGTGGCCCGCGTGCGATCGGTGGAGTCAAGGCGCCATGCAAGCAAATACTTTAACGAGATGGTCAGAAGTTGGTGGGAGGATGCAACGGCGATGCTTTGAAGTCCATCCGCGCATTATCAGACGCTCCAGTAATAACAAAGACACAGATTCCCCCATATAGCCTTAAACAGACGCTTCGGGCAAGCGCTGTTAGCGAGCACCTATGAAGGCCGGCACGGCACATGAGGGGGTGGGTGGCCAGCACCATGCCCGGACGCCATTGTCTCCCTAGTGGCGATGTTTACACACTGCACCAGGTACTCATTTGAGGCTGAATCGACCTTGGTGTTGGCCACGAGTGGAATTTGAACTCGTAGCGCAGTGTGCTAACCGCGTACACAGTTTGTATTTATATTCAGTGAGTTTCTAAGCTTTCCTATACTTTGCACTCCTATCGTTCTTTTTTGTATTGTTTTCTGTTGTAACTTTCTGACTTGGCCCTTACTGGACATCTGTGAAAAAGAGCTTCATAGCTCATCGGATTCTTTCAGTCTGATTCAAATCTGATCAGACACACACACGACCTTTGCTGTAATATACGGGGGCGGGGGGGGGGTGTTAAGTGCACCTTAAATGCGGATAACACGGAACCCGTGGCTGTAATCCAGTGGAGTGCAGCTGGAGTTGGTGGAGAATGTACTGTACAGTTGCAGGCAGTGCAAGACACCCAGGCATGAGACACTCAGTTGATGTGTGTGGGAAGCGTGACGAGATCAAGGTGTGTACGTGTGCTCCGGCCATCTGATATTAACTCCCTCGCCTCGTATGCAGGCGGTTCGTGGGTTCGATCCCGACTCTAACGCCTGCTGTATATTTTCAGTTAGAATGCTGGATTTTTCTCCAGGTCCTCCGCTGTTTCCCTCCACATTTAGAAACATGCGTTTTAAGCATTTCACAGCTATAAATGTACACGTGCTAAGCCACTTCGTTGAGCTATCATTTGTGGCTAATTCGCTTCTAAAAAAAAGCTATATAGCTCAGTGGGCCTTACTTGGTAAAATAACAATTAATTTAAAAGATAATTTAGTTGTATCTGGCTTCCTCACATGTATGAAATATGCAAAGTGGAATCGACCAAAAAAAAATGCAAATTCAGGAACCTCCAGAAACAAAAACAAGAATTGGAACTCTGAATAAACATGCACTTAATATGAACACAACCTCGCTATAAGATTTTTAAAGATTATTATAAATTTCTTCCTTGTCAAGCCACAGTGTTTTGTGAACTGCTATTTGCGTTTGGTTTGTTGTCCTTTCCCCGCACCTCCGATTGATGAAGACCTTCCCTCGCTGTGTTGGCCACTAGTCTGACTATATATTATTTGGGTCTTCCGGTAAAGTCACGTAGAAAGGTTCAAAGAAAATAATAATAAAAAAACTACGACGTTTCGATCGCAACACAATCGTTCGTCATTAAGAAGAAAAAAAGGGGGACATCTGCTGAAGCAGACTGTTTTAAAGGTTTAAAATGGGTGTAGCACAAGGGTCATAAACGAAGTGGGTGGAGCTAGTGATGTTAAAGTGAAAATTTAGCATGTCAATGTAAGATCGGAGGGCGACCTCCACGACGAGGGCATGGAAGTGTCTATGTTAATGTGAGAGATCAGCATGTTAATGTGAGAGATTAGCATGTTAATGGCAGAATGCAGAGCAGCAACGCCGAGCTGGGTGAGCGAGGTGGCTGTGTTAGTGTGGGAAATTTTACCTGTTAATGTAAAATCAGAGAGCCGAAAATAACAACTAACATCGGAAGGTGGCAGGATGGGAACATCACAGCCAGTTATGACTTAAACTGGTTGATAACGTCCTTCCAGTGATTGCTCAGTTTATACCCATCTTCTCGATTGAAGTTATCTCTGTGTCTATATATTTGGATGGCTTCATGAACGAATCTTTGTTGATATCCAGTGGGTTTGCAAAGTACCTCCGTCTACGAGAAATCAATTTCGTGTGAGCCCACCACATTAAAACAATGATCAGCCACGGCCGAGGTATTGGTCTTACCGTGTTTCAGATCTGCCTTATGTTCACGAACACGGTCCGAGACATGTCGCTTAGTTTCCCCAATGTAACTACTGCCGCAGACACAGCTTAGTTTGTAGACGCCGGGGTATTGCACGTCAGGGATGACATCCTTAACAGATGGGATCAGATCACGAATTTTACGTACTGTGTTAAATCGAACCTGCATCTTGTGTTTGCTCATGATTTTCGAGATATTTTTGGTGACCCCTGCTGTGTATGACAAGGTGATGGTTTTGATTGGATTCTCAGGATGGTTCTTTCCCAACGGTTGGGGTTGTAGCTTTACGGATTGTGTAGTCTGAATATCCATTCATCTTGAGACCTTGGTGTATGCGTTTCAGTTCACTGGCTAGGTGATGGTCAGAAATACATTGAGCTCTATGGTTTAGAGTTTTGATGAGGGAATTATTCTTGGCAGGATGGTGGTGGGAGTCCGGTTTTAGATATGCATCCGTATGGGTGGCTTTCCTGGAGACAGAGTGTCCCATTGAGCCATCTGGTCTCCTTTCGATTAAAACATCTAAGAAATGTAGCTTGCCATCCTTTTCCACCTCCATGGTGAATTTGATGGCTGGGTGTATGGAATTGATGTGGTTGAGGAATTGGTTCAGAGCTGGTCGGCCATGTGGTCAGATGACGAATGTGTAATCTACGAACTTCTTCCACAAGGACGGATGTAGAGTGGATGTCTGGATGGCATCTGTCTCTAATTTTTACATAAAAACATTGGCTACAACTGGCCGTCTCCTGCCGCGGTTTCGCTTTGCGCACCCTCTTTTTGTGGACCCATCTACTCCTCGACACAT